CTTAATTGCCATTGTTAGTATTGTATTTTCATCGTTGTTATTATCTTGTATATGTTTAATATTTATTTAACTTTGCAGACAGGTTTCTTGCTATTGAGATATCTCCAAGGTTGCCATGCCGCAGAATTGTAGAATCGGCCTATAGAGTACAGCACATGCAAGAACCTGTAAATTCTCATTTCCACGCTAGATGTCAGATTCATACGGTTGCCACAGCCAGGGCGGAGCGCTCCTCGAATGCAGTGTAGGTCTACCAACATGGTGACGCAAATGGATGGTGCGTTTGAAGACAGCTGAGTTAGATGTGTGTACCGAGTTCTGTGATGCTGAATTGGGTCCGAGATGATTTTCTGATTTCATCAGTTTTCTGAGGTAACCATTATACAATTTCGGTAACAGTATGGCATACATGCGTTTCCTGGCACGACTATTTGCAAACTAATGACTATGATGAACTATTAATTTGTTATTTCGTGTATTTGATGTAGGTTATTGAATCTTCGACTCCACTGAAGTATGTTCGTAATTCACGTACGTACTATTTTGGCATCTTGTCACAAATGCTCAATTTAAGAATCATTTTCTAATGAAAAAGAGTGTGATATGGACATTTGATGTCCTCCAGTTGTTATTTATGGAGCTTTTTTTTCCTACCATTGCCCATAATGTTTGAAACGTCAAATATGTGATCTATTCGGTGTACTAAACATAATTGTTTTGTTTTTTTTAATTTCAAAGTGACAATGACTTGCTTTCAGTTTATTTTCATACTTCATGATTGCTTTCTGCTTCAAATGCATGTGTTTATTTTGAAAGGGCAGGGCTGGAAACGAAACATAATACAATATTTCGTTCGCAGTGAATGATAAAAAAATTTTGGTAATAATTTGATATATTTTATAAAGACGAGAATATAAATGTGCATTGATCATTACTCATCAACCTCTGGTAGCTCAGTTGGTAGAGCGGTGGACTGTAGTTGGTTGTGACGTGTGGTTATCCATAGGTCGCTGGTTCAAATCCGGCCCGGAGGATTTTTTTTTCTCTCCAGCACATCAAAACTGTTTTATTTGTAGATTATCATGCTAATATTTTCAAGTACTCTTTTAAATTTGATTGTATTCAAACGTTTTGTGCTTCTGAAGTCAAAGAAAGTCGACATCCATGTTCACAGTTACGTCGATTCCGGTATCGATGTTCGGGGATATTCCGGCTTTAAGGGTCGCTGTTTGTGATTGTGTTATACGTAAATTATTATAATCCTTGCCATAGTAGCGCCTTTAAGGAACTTATCCATTATGATTTGCATGAATTACCGTAAAATCACTGCCTGTTACGCCAAATAGTTATCAGACATTCTACAGGTTCCCAGTTTAATTTTATTTTCAAAAAAGGACTTTTTCTCGCTGCTTACACTAATTAGATTTGGCTTTAATGACGTGCAACTTTTATTCCCATGCATTCAGTTTTATGTTTGAATAATAATGTTACCAACAGAAAAAATGTTATTTCTTGTGTTCAGCACAGCTTCTTTGGAAACATTTGTTCAGTAGTGCCAAATAATGTGTGTTCTTTGAGGGTGAAAATCTGACATTTTAAATTAAACTCTTCAAACGCATTGACGACAGGGCGTCGGGAAAAGAAATACAAATATTCAAGGACCTTGGAACCTCATATAGGACGATGATGTCAGAGCCGTTTCGTGTGACACTGTGCTATTTGCTTAAGAGTGCATAAAGCAGAGATGGTTCACTTTTCAGATGCTAGGCGAGGCAGAGGAAACATGAATTGCGCTACAACAATATAATTCTGAACTGTTCTATACGCATGCGCGAACTCTTCGGCCCCCCCCCCACTTCGACCCAACTTCGGGATGTTTTTTTTTGGGGGGGGGAGGAGAAGGAAATATCGATTTTACGCACATGACAGATATAATTAAATCGGGGTGATACCACGGGTCCTCAGAAGTCTGTCTTTTATTGTTTATATCCTGAACTTCATTCATTTCCATCAGAACTGTAATTTAACACTGAATTCTCAACATATACGTAATCAGTGCTCGCTTTTTAATAAGAGTGGTGACGAACGACAAGCATGCAGTGTCACAAAGTACGTGACGTAACCTAACCTAAATGCGAAATAAAAATGGAGGACAATCGTACTGAAAGTTTACGGTTGGGATTCACTCACGGCAACACGTGAAATAATTGAATTCAAATTTATCTTAAGGCGGCTGTAACATAGCACAGGCGATGGAGATTGAGTCTCACCGCGTGAGCCAGGTTCGATCCCTGATGGCTTCAAATGAGATTCGTGTTGGGCGAAGGCAACAGGTTCTTCGATTTTCCCCTGCTAATCATCATCACGCCATTTTTCCATGACCATCTGTCACTGGCCCTCGAGGTGTGCATTGTCTTGACCAGGCAACACGTGGCACGTGTCCAGTCTCCGAGTAAAGGAAAAAGTTGTTTCGTTTGTAAACTTGCGTGAGGATAATACGCCTTGCTAAACTTCTGTTACTTTTATTATCTTAAAAAGGTTTTAAAACAGCGGTTATACCGGCAGACATCTGCTAAAGGACTCATTTATCTGCGTGAAGGAAAAATAAATTATGGCCGATGACTTTTTAATTTTAGTCCCGGAAATATGTTTTGAAAGGCAAGATTACTTTCTCCATTAAGATAAATACCAATCAGGAAGATACAAAGGCTTGGTTTTTGGGCAGTAACCCAGATGTTGACTTCGCCTGTGTGAATTTTGAATCGTTTCGCTTACGGGCAGTATAAAAAACAATGAAAAGAAATCGTTTCTTTGTTCAGGTTTGGTTCCGTGGCCCAAACCTTTGTTCTCGTTATGTGCATTGGAAATGTTTGTTTAAAAATGAAGCCGTGGGTCTCTCGCTGGCGTATATTAGCATTAAAGAAATTCAAGCGAGACAAACATGTCTCAATTAGAAATTTCCATTACGAAAGTTAGCGAAATCGATTGAGGGGCCAAGTTTACTTTTGTCCGGAAACATGTCGCAACGAGAGTTGGGCAGAAAAACCGGCACACGGGGCTCTTAACCTCCATGCCCTCAGGGCAGAGACAGACGCGAGCTTCCGCTGTTTTGATACTGCGAGCCATCGAGATTTGTGCGGGTCTCAAAGAATTTTGGTTTTGGGGTTGTACAATTCATGTGAGATCGGTGTCCACCGTTTAAACATTCTTACGATGATCGGAGGATGATTTGTACAAGACATGTAGCATGCATGGGAAAGATTATTCATGCAAAATTTTAGTCGGAAAACCTCAAAGGATGTTCCCATTTTCGAGACCTAGGAGTAGATGAGAGAATGTCTGTCCCGGTTTGATCTAACTTGTATTTCATAAATTGTCCCATTGGATTGGTGAATATTTGACGAAATGAAGTCGTTATCTTAAGTTATGTTTAAACAACATATTTGCATCTGCAGCAAACGAAGATTATCGCCGGTGAAATTTGCAAAACAGCGAATCATTTCTGAACACGTCCCTTTGTTCTTTCACGATGCTGTCGTACCTTTTAGTCCTTTGTAGTTGCTGAATAATTCGCGCCAACTTTATGCAGAGGCAAATTTCAATGTTTACTCAACCGATGTTATTTTAAGTCGTAATCCTTGCTATAATATTCTGCCCAAGCCTGCAGCCACTGACAGACTCAAAACGGAGAAAGAAGTGACTCGAGAGGATTACAAAAGTAAATACTTGAATGTTTATGTGGTTCCAGTGTTATTAGAGTCAATATGTTAGAATTGCCTGGGTGGTCGGCCAATGCGCGCTAATTTGCATTTTAATTGTTCTCTGTGCAATTGTGTGTATTAACTCCAAGGCATTCTGCAGTCGTGGATAAGTGGGGTATAAAACGGTTGGCATTTGAAGTAAACATGACATACAAATTAGTCACGTTCTGTTGTGACATCTTAGAAAGTTATTATCTCTGAAGTGACAATTACCTTTCCTTATCGGAGTAAACGTCTCTACGCTGAGAACAGTTCCATTGTTATAAAATACCTTCCTTAAAAGGATTGCGGAAGACTGGTATGTAAGATGAACGCCCGGTATTCGAATGGAAGGTAATTTAATTTAATATAATTATATTTGTTTAAATCTTGTCAGTCTAATCACAATAAAATTCCTATTAAATATTAAAATATTACTATAATTAACATTTAAATATTTCATTAATGTAATTAATAAACTCTCAAATCCGAATGATTATGAACAACGGGACAGACCACAGTCCTAAAATCGAAATGATTCAGCTTCCCAATAGCAATTGTGAGAGAAGTTTGTTTTAGTGTGTCACGAGGCGTTTGTGTTTTCGTTTTCCAACTGATATGTTCACTTGTCGAGCAGGGCAGAGGTCACTTTGTGTACGGTCTGCGTTACACTCGCTCCTTGAACAGAATCACATACCAATGTGACGCTGTGGTACATTGCCCCTAATCAGCTGTTTACTGATGGGATATCCGTGATCTCACTGCAGAAGTGCGCAGTACGGGACGCGCATGGCATTGGAATCCTTTGTGGGTTGAAATGCGCAGGTCTGCGTTCTAGGGTATTGTCTTGTCGGCCTGGTCCCTGCCCCGAGGAATCCCTATTTGACGTGCAACAGATTAAATTTAGACGGCTGTCTTGTACTATGGTAGAAGTTTGCCGACGTTTCAGAGGTCCTTGTTGCTTCGCTGTTTTTTGATGTCACCAGAGCGTACAATACTGTTGTTACGGTTGCATTTTAAATGGAACAATCTGTACATCCGTTAAGGTCAAGTTCAAAGCCATGTACGTTTTGTTCGTTACAACCTGTGAATGAAAAAGTGGCGTATGACTGGCTAAATGAAGATTGTTGTCTTCTGGGATTTTCCGCTGCGTAGTCTGGTAGATATCGACCGACGTTTCAGAGTAAACTTTTTTTGAGAGGAGACGTATTCCTGCAGAAGGAAAGCTAACATTGTCGTTGAGGTAACAAAATGTATTTTACGTGGAGTGGGCGGCGACACGTCGAGAATCATTTCGTGACTGGAGGTGATGTTATGCACGTGGAATGCTCAATAAAAGGTTACGTACGTTGAAAGTTTGACTGAAATGTGACTTTCTTTGCTGGAAGATCTGTCATGGCGTAATTACAGTCTTGCTGACGTGGGTGGTCGAGGGATAGACAAGAAGTGTGCTTGCGATGGAAGACGGAAAAAAAGCAAATCAAGATCCGTACTCTTTTAAGAACATTTTATAAATTACTTTTGGTGTCCAGTTTAATATCGTCTGGAAATTTTTTAATTTTATTTTTGAGCTAAAGAAAGGATGGACAAAGTGTCTTCATCGTCTGCTTTCAGCCATTTGGTTGATCCTTT